CGATTTATATAATGGTGCAACGAGAAAAGTGGCCCTGTAAAAGAATGTAATTTGTGACAAATGTGAAGGCCGAGGTGGTAAGAAAGGAGCCGCAGAGTGCTGTCCCAATTGCCGGGGTACTGGGATGCAAATCAGAATTCATCAGACAGGACCTGGGGTGGTTCAGCAAATTCAGTCTGTATGCATGGAGTGCCAAGGCCATGGATAATGAACGGGTCAGTCCTACAGATGGATGTGAAAGTTGCAATGGAAGGAAGATAGTTCAAGGAAGAAGATTCTAGAAGTTCATATTGGCAAAGGCATGAAAGATGGTCAGAAGATAACATTCCATGGGGAAGGAGACCAAGAACCAGGACTGATGTCAGGAGGTGTTATCATTGTACTAGATCAGAAAGACCATGCTGTTTTTACTCAACAAGAAGACCTTTTCATATGTATGACATACAACTAGTCGGAACATTGTGTGGCTCTCAGAGCCAAGTTCCACTCTTGACAACCGAACCATAGTCATCACCTCTCATCCAGGTCAGATTGTCAAGCATGGAGATATCAAGTGTGTGTTAAATGAAGGCATGTCAATTTATCATAGACCACATGAAAACGGTCACCTAATCATCGAATGTAAGGTAAACTTCATGAGAATGACTTTCTGTCTCCTGATAAACTCTCTTTGCTGGAAAAACTTTTACCTGAAAGGAAGGAAGAAGAGACTGATGCAAATGGACCAGGTAGGACTGGTGGACTTTGATCCAAATCAGGAAAGACAGCGCCATTACAATGGAGAAGTATATGAGGATAATTATCATCATCCCTGAGGTGGTGTTCAGTGTCAAAGCTCTTAATGGGGCCAGTAAGTAACACTCACTGCTGGCATTTCTATGCAGTAGTGAGTGAAGAGAAGGACTGTAATCATAATATGCTCACCACTTGCTATTGTTTTTGTTTTCGTTTTCATCTATAGTAGTGTTTTAAAAAGTTAAATGAAGAATAAATACAAATATAAAAGGTGACTTTTCCCTGTATGTACGATGACTCCAGTGTGCAAGATGCAGTTTTAATAGCTGTAAACCTACAAAGTTCCCCTAGCATTTCTTAGGCCATTCCTTGTCATTGATTTCAGCGATGTATGTGGATGAGCTTAGACTGAAATGCTAGATATTACGTATTGACTTCAGCGTGTGATCCCCCCCCATTGTCACACTTTGAAATTAAAATCCTATTTATAACTGGTAATCAGAAGGAGGGAAAAAAATTTGTAGGAAAATGAAGGAAGGAATAAATGAATGAATGAATCTGACAGGTAGATTCAGTGATAGAATGATTACTGTTCACAAAGCAAGGTAGATCCCTGACTGCCTTCTTTTGGAAATAATGGTGAAGTATTAGGTCATTGGGAAAGTCATGACACATTTTTCTATACAAAAACGTATAATCCAACCCAATAGTTGGGTCCCATTACAGAAATGAGAAAGGCCAGGCCCAGACAGTGGCTCAACAGTAACATAACTGGACCCACATGGAAAAGGTCCTGGGTTCCTGCCCCAAACCCTCCCCACGCATGCTAGGTGCATGCACTAGTGCCCATGATCCAGGCCATCCGAGACTGGGTATGGATCATGGCATCAGGACCCTGTCGGGGGTGCCTGGCACTCTCTCTACTTAAGTGTTCCTCTTTCTCTCTCTCATAGAAGAAATAAGTGAATAAGCTTCAAACAAACAAACAAACAAACAAAAATAGGATAAAGAAAGTAAAGACAGATGCCAAGACCCAGAGATGCAGCCTACCCAAGACTGGGGGCGAGAGGCAGCCTGAGATTCAGCGTGTTTGTGTGTTGACACATTCTGCATATGCTTAAAATAAGCAAAAATGAGCTGCGCTCTGTGCTGTTGAAGAGGACCTCACATGGTTTCCACTGTCCTGGTAACTCTCAGCAGTGCCAGCCTCACGCAGTGGCCAAGTCTCAGGTCTGGCTGGCAGCCACACGAAGATCTCTCACTCAGGTCATGTGGGGGCTTCTTGCCTTGGCTGACAGCGGCCGTCAGATCTCTGCACACTGCTGTCCATAGAGAGATTAAACTTCCCAGCCACCCTTGGCGTGACTTTTGTCCAACAAAGGGCTCCTTAACATGATTGTGTGTGTCCCTTCCCCCTTTGGCCTACTCACTGACAGGACCACCCATGCTCAGAACACCCAGTGTTTGCTGGACAGTCCTTGAGATGAAAACAAATTGTGATAGCCATTTATTCCAAAAGAGGAGATGCGGAGTGGTGGCAAACAGGAGTCTCCTCCTCTGGTCTTTCTCATCAGAAAGGCATTTGTGCCAGTTGGTAGGAAGAGAATGGTGGGGAAGGTGCCTCAGCCGAGCTGACAAGCGTGTGCTATGTGTCATCACTGGAGACTCAGGACAAAGAAAGCACAGCCCCCTTCCCTAGGATGCTCCCAAACAGTGCTCTAATAAGTCACCAAGATTTGAAGCCAAGTGTATGTTTGTGGGGTTTAGGAAGCGAATGACGCACCAGATGCACAGAGTAATTGGGGGTGAGGCTCTGTAGTCTCTGCTGGTGGTTTCATTTGCATACTTGTGGTGTATAATAATGAAAGAATCACACTTCCTGAGGCTGGGAGAATAACAGTAGCCTGTGAAGAAACAGATTTCATGCCCTGATGGCAATGGATTAAATGTACATCAAAAACTACTTAGAGGAGCGGTCGGGGCACTGGACTCCCACGTGGCCGACCATGGTTCAAGTCCTGAACCCAGCGACTTGAAACTTACACCGCATACCTATACATGTGTGCCTAAGATACCGGGAGGAGAATGGAGGAGAAAGGATTATGGCGTGTCCATATCCCCCAGGGGTTGATTTCTCGCTTCCTCTCTCTCTCTCTCTCTCTCTCGCTCTCTCGCTCTCTCGCTCTCACTCTCGCTCTCTCTCTCTCTGTCTCTGTCTCTTTGGTGAGTGCATGCACTCTATAGCAAAAAATAAATAAATAAATAAATAAATAAATTTCCCAGTTATGTTCTCTAGAACAAATAAAAGAGTTTTTCTAGCTTTTTAAAATTGGAGGAGCAAATAGATTTCATAGACTCACAGACTCTAAATTAAGATTAGGGGCCAGGTTGTGGCGCAGTGTTAAAGCAGTTGGACCCACATGGGATAGGTTCTGAGTTCACATCCCAAAATGTCCCTGGGCATGCTGGGTACATGTGTGTTCATGAACCAGGATGGCTAAGACAGGATGGTTCACAGTATGAGGGCCCTATTGGCCCTATTGGGGGTAACTGTCTCTCTCTCTGAGAAAGTAAATAAACTTTAAAAAGCTTTTTTAGAACTTTAGAAAGCAAGATTTGACCTTTGAGATTGTCCAGCTCACCCGTACTTTGCAAAGGGGAATGAGGGTGGGCTTCAGGTGACTTGCCCCAAACCGATGAACAGTGAGGGCAGAACGGGGTCTGCTCCGTGCCCTGCCAGCTCTTTACCTCATAGTTCACCCCAAAAGTCACTAAAGCAGCTTATAAAAATATTCAGAGGAATATATCGATGAAGGGCCTAGAATTGGCCTTGGAAGGGCCCTAGGCACAGTTCAGGGGACAGTCTTTGAAAGACGACTGCAGGGAAGACAATGAGGCTTATAAGCACAGGGCCCAGCGGCCATCAGCCTTATGTCTGGAGGCCCAGGGTCCATCAGAAATGAACTCTCTCCTGCTCTTCGGAAGAACCCCTCTGCTTCTAGAGAGGAGAGGGCTTTTAGAGAATGTGCTTCTGAGTAAGATTTCTTTTGAAATGCTTTAATCTGAAAACTGCTATCCTACAAAGAAGTAATTCAGTAGTGCTGATAAGAATCCAGTTTTTCAGCCAGCTGCTGTGACACAGAGGTAGTGCAGTGTTCCACAGTATTAAGGCCAAGTGGGGCCAAATTCACCTCCGGAGGTCTCCTTGTGCATACTGGGCATGCGAGAGCTTGCCATCTCAGCTGGGTGAGGCTCGGAGTGGACCAGGGATAAAGACCCTGTTCAATGTGCCCCAAACTATAAACATCAAAAAAATACAGGTTTTCATCAGTAGCAGTTAATGGGGTCTGAAGTTGTGTTTCTTTTTTCTACTCTTAACCTTTATGGATCCCAGAGGGTACTTCCCTGCTGCCTGTGCCAGGAGAAATCTGAGGGACCCCAGGTGGGCTGGGAGTTACTGTCACAGCCCTTTCAGAAAGCCCCTCCTAGTCTCTCTCCCCCTCATAGGCACATCTTCTCCAGCTCTTTGACTAACGGGAGGCCTACCCAGCTGTGGCTCACTCTGCAGTGCGCTGTTCCATGGCACTCAGCAGATCTCTATTTGTTCACTAATTCTCTTTACCACGAAGACCCCTGGCCAGGCCCAGGGACCTAGCACAGCACCTGGATCATGGGAAACACTAAACAAGGAATTGTGGAATTGAAACTTCCTGGGGAAGGAGCCCTGCTTGGCAGTAAAAGAAGACTTTGGGAGGCTGACTCCCATGGGAAGGTCCTGGGGTTTGTGACTGGAGACCTCCCTGAGTATTCCAGGCTCACACTTGCTCATAATCTGGGCTGGCTGGGGCTGGGAGTGAATCACGGTCTCGGGACCTTGTTGGGGAGCTGTCTCTCTGTCTCTCACTCTCTCTGTTACTCTCACTCATGGAGGAATAGTTTTTTAATATATATAGAAGTTTTCATATATATATATATATGGTTCATAAACTTCCCAGGGAAAAGCCCCTATTTGATTCTGCTTGTGTAAAACAGCATCTTCCTGAAGCAGCGCATTATCTACGACTGTCATGAGAGCTCATTTTCATGATGTGACTGTCTGCTGTCTCCTAAGTGCATTAGAGGAAAAGCACTTAAAAGAGAAAGGAAAAAAAATAAGGAAATCAAATAGACTTACTACCGGAACGCAGCTCTAGTAAAGGTAGTATTTTGGTGCTGATTGATTTCAAATCCACTCAGTCCCTGTCTCTCTTTGTTCCTTCTTTCAGAATGCTAGAAGATGACCTTAAGCTAAGTAGTGACGAAGAAGAGAATGAACAGGTAAGCTCTCCTTTCACGTTGCCATCCTTGGGTTGTGACTCAGATACCACTGCCCTGGTGGGCCACGTGGGTGTTCGCAATCACGCAGACTTAAGTTGTGATGCTCCAACATCCAGGGGTTTCCTCTGCTCATTACAGTCTTCTGTGCCACAGAGTCAGCCTATTAAAATATCTTAGACTTCATTTCTCTAAACACTTTTTTTTAAGAGTGATTCTTGCTATAGGGTGTGTGCACTCACTAGAGACAGAGAGAGACAGAAAGCAAGAACTCACCCACGGGGGGATGGCCACACCGCAGTCCCTTCTCCTCCACTCTCCTCTCAGGATTTTGGGCATGCACCCACACGTGCCCCGCATGAGTTTCAAGTTGCCGAGTTCAGGACTAGAACTGCAGCTGACTATGTGGGAATCTAGCAACATAACCATGACACCATCTGCTGGTCCCCTCTCTTAACACTTTAATCCTGTGATTTTTTTTTCCGACATTGAGACCAATAATGGGTATTTACCAGGAAGCTGGCTAAGATCAGGCTTCACGATGAAGCCGTGTGCAAGTGCAAAGCTAACTGGGCTTTTGAAGATCAAACATGTGACCTTAACCTCATCGGCATGCATCAGGCAAGCTGTACCATTAAATATTGAGAAGTCTTATACAGATATTATTAACATTGAGAAGGAGCAAACGTAGAGGTGAACTAAAATGATGAATAAAAAATAATCGTGCTCAGTGTAGGCTGTTTGTCTTCAATGATAAATGTGCTTGAAATATTCTTCCCCCGTGTTGATTTATCAGCTTGAGACATCAGTCAGGGGGTTATAAATACTCTTCTGATCAGTCAGTTAAGGCGAAAAAATACCCACTTAACATTCATCACTTCCACTTCTGGGTTTCAGGCAGTGTTTGTATTTTAAAAGCAAGTTTGAAAGCGCTAAAGGCAGATTTTCCTACGCTTGTTTCCTTTTGCCCGTCACCTGTATTGTATTTTGTCAGGTTTGGGTAAATGTGATTCAGAGGGGTTTTTGTAAGTCATCTTCACGTGCAATACAAAACACTCGCACTGTCCACTGATTATAGAATAGCAAACGTAATACATGAAATGCTGTGTGTGTGATTCAGCTAACGTATGGAGAGAGTGGCCAGAGGGGAAGTAAAGGTCAAAGGGAAATTTCCAGGGAGACATCTGAGCAGGACATGGCTGCGAGGCCACAGAAGAGGTTGCTCACCTGGTGAGAGAAACTGAGGCACTCAAGATATGAGAGAGATGTTTAAAGAGTGTGGAAACCGGATTGACAAGCAAACCCCTCGGTGAAGGAAGGTTATCTTCAAGGAGAGCTGCTCAGACTTCGAGTTTTTGAGAGACTGACTCGTATGTTCCTAGACATGCCTGCCAGGACAGACAGATAGCCACAGCACAGGGACCTTGGCAGACACGAATAATAGCCTCACTTGTAATTTTGGTCCCTTGTCTGTGTGATTATAATTTCACCTCCGTGTTTTTTCCGCTGAGAGACTTGGGTAAATGCCTTATGGATTAAGTCATATCAGATGTGTAAATTATGTATACTTTGGGGGCAAGCGGTATGAAAAAAGTGCTGGATTTGCACATGGGCAACCATGGTTTGAGTCCCAGACCTGGCATCTTGAAAGCATACCAGACGTGTGTGCACATGTGTCCAAAATCCCAGGAGGAGACTAGAGCAGAAAGGACTGTGGCATGCCATCCCTCTGGTAATTTCCCCCCCTCCCTGTCTCTCTCTGTCAGTAACAAGCACCCAATTGTTTTATGTCAAACCAGTACATCGAAAAAATATAACCAAAAATGTGAATATTTAAGATTAACGGCAACAACTGAGCATTCATAGGAAGTATGCCATTATATCTCTTATGCTTTTAAGAAAAAAAGCACTTGATGGCAGTGGGTAGCATCGTAGTTGAGGTGCCTGACTTCCACATGGTGGACTGTGGTTCAAGTCCTGGGCCTGGCAGGTTGCCTTCTCACTTTCCCTCTCTCTTTCTCTCTGTCTCTCTCTGTTGAGCACACATGCCCTACAGCATACTTAAAATAATAGTAATAAATTAAATTAATGAATAATTTTTAAGAAGAAAAAATAGCCAAAAAAACTTTAAAAATCTTGTATACTTGGTGTTAGAAAAATGATTCACAGACTATTTAATTCAGGAAATCTTTCTTTAATCAGAAATAATTTCCTAAGCTATTTCCAGAAAACATTTACAATGAAAGCTCAACTTAAAAAAAATCATCAATGATACTGCACCATACACATTCTCTAAGAAAGTTAGAATTTTTCATTGACTCATTTTGTCTTACTGGCTACTCACTTTCAGTCTGTAGCCATTGGCAATATTGTGTTGTGAATGAATACAAAGGGCAGATCCTTTATTCGTGCATTTAACCCCTGTGTATACACCTTCCTCTTTTTTTGCAATAAAAGGAACTGACAGAATGAATGATTTTTAGCAGTAAAATCCTTTTCCCCTAATTAAGACTCTAGATAGTGATTTCATCTATGATAGTTTAAATTATTGCTTCAACATTAATTATAGTAAGTTGTCCTACTTTGGCCTATAATTATACCCTGGTCTAATCATAAAAATCATAATTTATAAACTTTTTTAAATGTCTAATGATAGGGTACTTTTTTCTTTCCAAGACCAAAAATAGGATTTTCCCCTGAAAGCATATATGTGTGTGTGTATGTAAATACACACGCACGTGTACATACATACATATATACATAAACATGCAACACACGCAGATTTCATTTCTCTGGCATTGTGAGATGCTTGAAGGTTTAACATGAAGGAGATTTCCAGATGCAGAGTTTGCTTCTTAATCCTAAATCTTTCAAAAACATGTTCCATTCTTCTCTGCCTCATATATGCAGTATACTAAATGATTTGCTGCTGCTTCTATCATACCTGGTTGTCTTTGTGAATGCAGGTTTAGCTAGCGTGTATAGCCGCTGTAAAAAAGAGATGTCTTCAAGAGCTTCAGACTGATACATCTATTAGCCTTTCCTCAGACAGCCTCCAAGTTCTTTTGTATTTGAACCTTCCTGTCTAAAGTTTCCTTTTCTCTTCACTTCTCTTATTTTTTTTTAGAAGTTTTTGCCTTAGGGCACGTGCATTCACCAGAAAAAGAGAGAGAGACAGAGACAGTGAGAGGGAAAGTGAGAAATCATCCCCTGGGGCGATGGCCATGATGCAGTCTGTTCTCTGCCATTGTCCTTTCCGGATTTGGGGCACTTACACATGCCTGACTGGCCGAGGACTCAAACTGAGGTCGGCCCTGTGGGAGTTCAGCAACATATCCACTACGCCATCTGCTGGCCCCTTCTCTCAGGTTCTTAAAGACGAAGAGATAGTCGAGCGATAAAGAGCACGGCAGCCAGCCCTTCTTCAGGGATTCAGATTCCCACTCTGGTACTTAGAAGCTTTGCACCTTTGGCCCAGCCTTTGAACGACTAGATGTTTCAGAGTCTCCATTTGTAAAACTGGAATTAATGTTAGATCTTCAATACTGCCGTTTCCATGGAAGCTGAAGTCACCCTTATCTTTGTGTCACCAGATCCAATAGACAGGTTTTTCCTTTTTTATTTTTTATAAAAATGACTTTAAAATTTTATAAATGGTAAAAAATGTTTGTAATTATCAACTTACAGTTGAATATAGCATGCATAGAGAAAAGTACACATGCCCTAAGTATATAACTTGTTGAATATTCGTGAAACAATCACACCCATGTAACTGGCACCAGATCATGGGGGCTGACTGGTGCCTTGCTCTGTGAGGCTGGCCTGCATTGGAAGGTTCAGGCTCACATCGAGAAAGCTCCCGGTATGTGCTAGGCATGCATGTGCTCGTGACTTGGGCCTGGCTGGAGTTGGAATGAGTCACTCACTGCATGAACACCCCTTTAAGGGGTCTGTCTCTCACTCATGACAGAAAGAAGGGAAGAAAAAAAACAGAAATGACCAGTCTCTCAGGTGCCCTCATGTTCCCTTCCAGTTACCATCTTCTAGAAGAAAAACCACTTTCCTGTTTTCTAACACAAAGAATAATTTTGCTTGATTTTGAACTTTGTATTGATGGACTCATACAACATGTATTCTTTTTTTTTTTTTTTTTTTGAGAGGCTTTTGCTATAGGGCACGTGCGCTCGCCAGACAGACAGACAAAGACAGAGAGATAGAAAGCGAGAAATCACTCCCCAAGGGGGATGGCCACGCCGCAATCCCTTCTCCTCCATTCTCCTCTCGGGATCTTGGGCTTGCATGCACATGCGCCTGGTGTGAGTTTTAAGCCACCGGGTCCGGGACGCGAACCGCTGTCAACTATGTGGGAGTCCAGTGACATAGCCATTACGCTAACTGCTGGTCCCTACAACATGTATTCTTTCGTGTCTGTTTTTTTCACTCAACATTGCTTATGAGATTCTCCCATGTGATTGCATATAAATTGCCCATTTCCATTACTGTATAATATTCCATTGTGTGTATATACTATAATTTACTTATCCATTGCAGGGCTGATAGGCATATGAACATTTTGGGCAGTTAGAATAGTACCATTATTAGCATCCTTGTCTGGGTCTTTTATTGAGCATGTGAGAACATTTCTGATGGGTCTGTGCCCAAGAGAATAAATGTTGGGATAAATGAGGGTATGTACATGTTCGGCCTTAGTCCGTTTCCATGGAAGCTGAAGTCACCCTTATCTTTGTGTCACCAGATCCAATAGACAGGTTTTTCCTTTTTTATTTTTTATAAAAATGACTTTAAAATTTTATAAATGGTAAAAAATGTTTGTAATTATCAACTTACAGTTGAATATAGCATGCATAGAGAAAAGTACACATGCCCTAAGTATATAACTTGTTGAATATTCGTGAAACAATCACACCCATGTAACTGGCACCAGATCATGGGGGCTGACTGGTGCCTTGCTCTGTGAGGCTGGCCTGCATTGGAAGGTTCAG